GGGTTGTAAACCCTACCGTCGATCTTTGATCGACGGTTGACTTGTGGTCAATGGGTATCAAACTATTTTAGAATGTCGTTGAGGTTGTATTTTATGTGAATTACGTATTCTACGAATAAGAGTTCTGAGATGTGATTTGATAATTGGCAACAGGGACCGATCATTCAGGACGCCTTGATGCGTGCGCTAAAGAAGTATAGCGTGGACTCCAGGTGAGTGGATCTTTTCCTTTTTATTGTGCATATTATTGAGAGTTCTATCGACACTCTTAAATTGATTAGGTATATTACCTTCATATAATTATTGTGAATGCTTGAAGTACCTATATGAACTACGAATGGCTTGATCCCTATTTAGGGTACATAGGCAGTCTAACGAGACGTTAGATGCAGCCATAAAATATTTGAGACAAAATCCTTGCTTGGGAAATTGAGTAATGCGAAGGAAATTGGTAAAGACAAGTTTTAGTTTTGTGAATTAGTTAGTTAAATTAGAGTTAATTGGGTTGTCATGGATAATTATCCCTAAAAATAAGTAGTTTGGGAGTAGGGCGTTATTGATTGTACACTTCACACCATATTGTTTATAATTGAAAATGCTACGACATGGTTGAGTAGTAGATTGCATCATGATATATCCATATGTATATTACTTGCATATAATTATTGGGAATGCTTTCAAGTGCAAAGGTGAACTCAGGACACCCAGGTAAGTTCAGGTGAGTTTATGGTACTAGTTGAATCGATTGCGTTATAGCATGACTACAGTTATGAGTTAGGCAACTTCGATATTGTCGTACTGGTTACCATGAGTTCCACATGTTATATTGAGATGCATTGAGAGCTCATAAACCTACACCCCGGTGTTAGTGCTCCCGCCCGTGGCCAGGGCACAGTCCTTCACGTGATGTTCACCTCCCGCACCTTACGCTCACCTTGGATCCAAGGTAGGTGCACAGCCCTGTCGTACAGACCACTTTAGGTGGTTCCGACTCGTAGGTGACCCGCGATTATTCGCCCAGTCTTCATGTGATCGTAGCACTTGAGCGTATTTATTTACACCCAGTCCTGTTGTACAGACCACTTTAGGTGGTTCCGACTCGTGTGCAGGTATACTTATTGAGCTATATGCTAGCCAGGATTGATGAGATATGGATAAGTCGTACAGGTCACTATAGGTGACTCCGACTTATATGCTAGCCAGGATTGATGAGATATGGATAAGTCGTACAGGTCACTATAGGTGACCCCGACTTATATGCTAGCCATGATTGATGAGATACGGATAAGTTGTACATGTCATTTTAGATGACTCTGACTGATATATCACTTTGTATTGATTTAGTTCATTTGGCCTACTTATTAATGTATGGTGGATTTGATGGCAAACCGTGGTTTTGGTCATTTCTGAGTATGGTTTGGATATATGTATATATGTTGTACTGTCTTATGGAAAACGATACGGGTTTTACATTTAGGGGCATTACTTTTAGAGAGGTAGTAACTTTGGGAAGCTTGGTTTTATTGCTTACTCACACCTTCTGTTTGGTGCCCTCCAGGTTTTAGCTGCTGAGTTTGTATCGACAAGAATCTGTGGCGAATCTTAGTATTGATGGATATTTTTGAGGGTATGATTCTTACCCACATTACTGTACCTTACTTATGCTCTGACATCGCGTGTAAAATGGGTTCACTCCCACTCGTAGCGCACTCTGGTATTTAGACACTTTTAGATTCAAATTCATTCACTTTTTATACACTATTACATTTTATGGCTTCGTCACCTTCCAGGTGTCGACCAGCACAGCTCGATTCAGGGTCCAAGTGGACTTTCTGGGTCGGGGTGTGTCACTTTTCGTACACTTTATGTTTTTAATATTATTTGTGCGCATAAACTTGTTGCATGACATTCTTGCATTTTATTTGCTCATTATTACATGTTTACATAGTGTCTCTTAGTTATTTGTATTGTTCTAGGTCAAGGATCAGCTTCACGTGTTGTTCACATGCACTGTTTACCTTCGCTTTGGATCCAAAGTTAAATGCCACCCTATCCTTTGTATGATGTTTTGGATTCGTTTGTGATGCGATTAGTGCAGCACACGTGATGTAGTACTAGAATGTAAAACCCACACCTTGCATGTTCCATTGTTTGAATATCTCTGTAATGGACTTGTGTGCCTACATAAATTAATGAGCATTGATTTCTTGTAATAACGATTTGAGATTTAATGTTGAGATACCTTGTTGGTGTACCATACATCTTTTCACTCACTTTTGCTGCAGGGTATCGAATTATAATATTTTCAGGAGATTATATACTTGTTTTACAGCAAGGGGTTACGCATTTTCGAAAATGATTTACAAACTTTATTTTTTCAGGCCCACTCACCCTTATTTTTCGCCCCTCCAAGATTTTAGTGACAGAGGTTTTGTGACGGTGAGGATTGTTGGTCAAAGCTGTTATGTAAGAGGCTTCTCCCTTCGATATAAATGTCTTTACTCTTCTTTTATTGCAATTTATTTATACTCTGTCATCACTTATGTGATATGGGTTCAATCCCGCGTACATGCACACTCTAAATTGGTCACTTTTAGGTTTTAATTTATTCACGTTTTCCACGTCACTACACTTTATGGCTTCGTCACCTTCCTGATATCGGCCAGCACATTGCGATTTAGGTGTCTCCGTGGGCTTTCCAGGTTGGGTATGTCATAACATCCACCTTGCCTGGAGGACGGTACAATTCCTCGTCACGATGGTGAATGTCCAAGCTTTTGTTAGCGCTTCACGGAGGCTCTTCAACAATTGAAATTGATGGATGAAGGTTCTTGGCCCTGCATTCGACGTGGTTTGGTGGATGGCCTTGAGTAATTTTGGCATTTTACCAAGTAAATGGTACATATAATGTAATCCGACGTGTAGATTGGAGTAGACAGCTTTGACCCTAGACGTGGTTCGATGGATGGCCTTGAGTGATTCTTCTTTATAATTTTAAGGCCTCCCATGAACTTGTCATTGTGCATATGGGAAGCAGTTTGGAGAAATCTGATACTGGTCTAATGGTTTGTCACTTGAGCTACGAATGCTTTAAACCATCTCCCGATGGGTTGAGCCTAGTCTGAGTTTTTAGCTGAACAGTCAAAAGTTTATTCGGGCGGGCCCAATATTTTCAATTGGGCAGAATTCCAGGGCAAACTTGTCTTGATAAAGCACAGTCGTTGCGGCCCAAACCAATCTTAAAAGTACGTCCAAAAAGTCAATTATTAAAAGAAAAGGTAAAGTACAAAAAATTACCTCAATTATGGGTCGAACGACACTTTCATATCTCATCTTTTAAAATTGACAATGTCATACCTCATTTTACGAATTTGTGACAATGTCATACCTTCCATCAATTTGTCTATCATCTATTTCGTTAAGTAGTGACGTGGCTTAAAAAAATTAATAAAAAATTAAAAAATTAATTGAATATTAAAAACTAAAGTTATAAAATCATTTAAAAAAAATATTTTACATGGGGACCCACCCTTTATACCCCTCACCTTTCTTCCCTCCTCCCGTCTTCCCCCACCCCAAACTCAGATCCCATCCCCACTTCGCTCTCCCTCGCCGTGCCTAGAACCACCATCCCTCCCCTCTCTCTCTCCCTTTTCCTCTCGTATTCTCTTTGCCTTTCTCCCTTTCACGCTGCAACAGTAGCCTCATCGACTCTGCCATTGTCGGCAAGCTCCAAGCCCTAAACTTCACAAACCTCGTCCTCTGCACCCACGCCGAGAGCCTTTCATCTTCGAAAACCTGACCGATTCGATCGTCGACATGCGCCTCAACAAGCTTGCCCTCCGCACCCATAACTCCACCAGTAAGTCTACGTCTTCCGACAAGGAGTACCTCTAGCTATCCCCAAGTCTTCAGTGATTTCTCCGCCTGAAGCAACGACAGATCGGGAGAATTAAAACGGCTCGCAAGCTTGCCGTCGCCGGAAAACGCTCTGACCTCTGAATTATCTAAGGCTGCGCCAGAACTGGAGCCATGCCAGGGGTTTTTGCAAAGGGAGAACTTCTCAACCAAGATCATCGAGAGCATTTCGCCGGAGGATCTTCAGGCGACGATCAAGATCTACGTCGACGGCCTCCAATCGTCGTCGCTTGTCGTGAAGCAATCTGTAGCAGCCAAGCTCAGGCTTTTAGCGAAGAATCAGGTTGATAATCACGCCTCGATCGCGCGAGTCCGGCGCCTTTCCCGCTCTAATTCCTCTACTATGATCCAGCAATCCATGGACGCATGAGCACGCCATCACGGCGTACACCCAAGTTGCGAAATTTCAATTGGGATTTGAACATGGGAGAAAGAAAAGGATGGATGCACGAGGCAGAGGTGTCAAAAGGGTAGCAACAGAACACACCCAATTTGCGAAATTCCAATTGGGATTTGATTTGTTTGAGTAAATTAAAAATTGGGGACTAAAATGGGGAAGAAGGGTGAGGATGATGAGTTCGGGGGAGACAGGTGGGGAAGAAGGTTGAGGGTGATGAGTTTGAAGGGTGGGTTAGGGGAAGACAAGAGCAGGTGGGATCTAGGCTTGGGGTGGGGGAAGATGGGAGGAGGGAAGAAAGGTGAATGGGATAAGGGATGGGTCCCCATGTAAAAAAAAATTGTTAAATGATTTTATAATTTTAGTTTTTAATATTTAATTAATTTTTTAATATTTTATTAATACTTAACGGAATAGATGACAGATAAATTAACGGAAAGTATGACATTAACACAAATTCATAAGATGAGGTATGACATTGTCAATTTTAAAAAATAAGGTATGAAAGTGTCGTGACATCAATAGTTGAGGTAATTTTTTGTACTTTACCCTAAAAAAAAGCCTATTATATTAACACCTCACGTGTTGTCCAATAAATTTCCCATACTTAATACACATTACATTTGCTTGTTCAATGTACGTACGTACGTACGATGTAGATTTAACTGTACGTACTAGTACTACGTATAAACATCTTTTACTGTTTTTATACCACATTTGTCATTTATGGGTAAGAAAGAATGAAAAAGGATCCTCTTCAAATCCTCTTTGTGGGGATCTAGGGGATCAATCACTCATGTCCGTTTATCGTACATCGTGCGATCAGTTTTCATTAGATACTATTTATATTCAATTTTAAATTTTAAATTTTAAATAATTTCTCACCGTACGATGTACAATGAATGTACATGATTGATTGATCCTCCGGATCCCCACAAAGAACATCCGAAGAGGATCATTTTTCAGAGTGAATGATATCCAAACAACTACAATAAGCTATACACTCATACAATGACGTAAACCTCCCTCTATACGGGAAATCAAGGAAACAAAAAGAAATGTAATCTTCGTGGTACATGGCTACCTACCTTTCTCAAAATTCTTTTAAACGCCAGAGAACCCACACAAACAATTTTACTAGTGACGCTTCATTTCTCGGAATATGTTTGTCACCTTCGGGGATAATCTTGGAAGGAATTTAAACAGCTGCACCACAAATACAAATGGTACCAAATTGTAAAGAAACTACAAGCACTAAAGCATGTACGAGTGGTTTGCAAAACTGAAATTACTATATAGTAGAAGAGCAGAACATACCCAAAGTTTGACGCATGCATCCATGATAACTGGAATCAGGCAGATGAAAATGGTTATGGCAGACTGATCAACCTCAAGCCCATAATGCTCAACAAAAATTTCTAACAATGTTTGCCAACCGGACTCAGAATGATACCTGCAGGTATGCAGTTGTGTACCTCAATCAGAAAAGTTTGATACGCACGCATTTTGGTCACACGAGGATGACTAGGATAGAAATCACAGAAATGAAACTGAAGAATTGGAACTAAAATCATCCTACCACAAGATGGCGACATTCACCTAAGGGACATTGTGCACCCTTGACACGCACTATAATATATGTCATATGTGTGCGCATGCGTGTACATATATGGGGTAATATTCTCTTACCACATAACTAGGTAAGTTATGTCATGAGACTGAATCTGGACTTCACACTCTCACAAGAGCCCGCCTAATCAGCGGTCCATATTGACAGTCTAGCTATGTAATGTACTAAGCTATCTGGCAAGAGAAAAATTCCATATATATGTGTATGTCTTTAATTTTATAGCTTTCCATAGTTGTAAGCAAATTTGAACAAACACTGTATTGTATACTGAATATAGTAACAGAAATTCACAGTACCAAACAAAAGAGCAGTTTATTACCCTAAAAAAATATCTGTGATAAGTATGATTAGAAATGCCTTCCCGGTATCTGAAATATTATTTATTATCTTATAACCTGTAAACTTCAGCAATGCTACCTGCAAAAGGAAGAGGAAGAATAAAAAACGGAAATACAATCAATTTAACAAGACTTAGTGCAGAGTTTTTAGCAGGCAATTTAAATCAGAAACAAAATAATCTCCATGAACACAAATATGCTTCTTAAGAAAGTAGCTAGACCAACATAGTATATCTTCATGGGTACTCCATGAAGTTAAGCTATAATTTCATTGCCAAACTGATAAATCAAGCAACATAGTTTCCAAAGATCAGCCGGGGAACTCTATTACTTCTAAGTAACAAATAATTATGATTGGAATTTATGTGAACCAAGAACTTAAAATCCTGTGAATATTAATCATAAAGGTTAAGATAATGCTTGGGAGAAGAGTCACATCGGCCAAGAATGCTTACATTTGCATTGAACTCTTAAAGCTCACCTCTGCAATCTGCATAGAAAGTGATATAGCTTTCCTAGTTTCCTAACATTAAGTTCTCTGCTTCATTCCAATTAGTTAGATCCAATATTTGTTGTTCCTTACGTCACCACTCCCATCCAGACATAAAATGTTCTATAGTCTTGACCTACTAATACTATAGTATAGATCTAATTTGTGTCAGTATTCATATGATATTGATAGCTATAATTCTGAGCAGATAAAAGGCATCACAACTTCACAAGTTTGACGCGTTCTGCAAACAATGAGGATGCATATTCATCACCCTAACCAAATAGATGATAAACAGACCAAAAAAAAAAACCGCACATAGAACAACTGAGGAAAAGGCAAAGAAAAAACAATCTAGTAGTAGGAACTGACACTCATAGCTAATAATGCAATAACTGCTCATACTACCATATCTGCAAGACAAATGGAGTTGTTAACTGTAACATTCCAAGGACATTCAGTTTTAGGTAACGCTATTATGATCGTAATGGGAAAAAATTATCATGCATGAAAGCAACCACAGAAAGAAAGTAATAGTAGCTCACTTTACTCTGATTGCTGTATAAAAGAATGAATAATGAGATCCCGAATATCATATCTGACCATATGTTGGCAAATGCATTACGATTCTCTAGTCTCCATTCATCTCTCAGCTCTAACCTGTTGAAGCCATAAGAAACGTAATTTGGATGCTATTCGTCATTGAAACTAAAGTCTAAAATCTAGTTTAAGAAGATTAGAACATAAGGGGAATTTTCCAATATTATCTCAAAATATAATACTCAGTTTCAACATTTCTAGTCACATTACACCATAATTAAAAATGTAAAATCATTGACATAGGTAAATTTATTAGCCATAATTAAAAAGTGAGAATACTTGATGACCTTTTACAATTATAACCTGGACATTTTTCTCATTGCATACTAGGGCATTTGGATCTCTGAAATGAGAGTATTTTTTGTTATGTAGATACAAAAGTCCAAGTGTGCAGTGCACTGAGAAAAATGTCCAGCTATAACTTTACACCATACCATCATCCATATGCAAGAGAACCTTGAATGAAATAAGTCCAGCTAAAAACAAAATCTGTTTTCTAATGACAGGTGCCATGTGTTTAAAGGTTTTTGGATTATTTACAAAATTAATTGTCTTCATTAGAGTTAGGTATGCTATGCTTACATTGTGATCACTGGGCTAATTATATCCGTGTACTGATATAAATATCAGCGGCTTCCTTCTCTGTACAATGATAGTGCATTCATTTTAATTGAAAATTCCTTTCTTTCTTTCTTCCTTCCTGCTGTGATTTCTCCGTCTTTTCACTCTGTGTTACAAGAGTTCAGATTTTTTTTCCCCCTTTTTTGTTTTTTTTTTTTTTTTTCCTGCAAGCATATATCCATATATTTCCCAGTCCTCTACTTTGAACTTCTAAACCTACCAGTTTTGGTCATACTCTGTACATTTCTTCCATATGTTAATGCATCGCCTCCCCTTACCTTGTACCCTGTTGTCAACCCCGGTATTAGGGCAGAAGCAGTTTCTCTGAAGGACAATGGTTCTACTATACTAGTACTCATGTAGAATCCCAACTACTTTTTTATTACTTAAGATAGATTATAACTGTTCTGGGTCAAATCTTCACTTTTAACTTTTTACCCGATTTAAAGGCTTTTAGCAGCCTGAATACAGTTATAATTTATGGAGGTTTACACAATGGAACTAGTCATTGATGTAATGATCAAACTAATAAGTTCTACATGTTTGACTGTTTATGTGGTGATATGTTCTAGAGTCACAAGTCACAAACTATACTGCTCAAGTCTTGGCATGTGTGACTACTTTTAGCCCTTTTATAGAAAACTCCATTCTAATCTACCCCCTCATCTCAATTGTGACTTTGTGAACCTATTTTAAACTTGGATAAAGACTAAAAGACTACAACGGTAATGTTATGGAGGCTCTTTCTAGAGGAGTACTAAAGAGCAGGAATCTTACGCTTTATGCCGCAACTCCCACCAAACCTCATCATCAGAAAGCGGTGGAGATTTTCCAATTTCCATCTCAAGATGAAATCTTGCTCCCTCCATTTTTAATTCCTCAACCATTTGAAGCTTTTGATTTCGTCTGACATCAAGCAACTGTGCTGCAAGTGGTACAGTCTTCACATATCTGTTCGCAAGCAAGTGGGTGCTCCATTAGTTCTTAATTTTAGAGGTAAAAGTAATGGTTAAAATTAAGTTAATACCAGGTCCAATGCAACAAAAAATATATGCTGAACTTACAATCTTTTTCCTTTAGTTTATACAAGCATGCATAAATAACACACACACACACACACACAAATATGTATAAATGTATAACCAACAACCTAACAATAGTATTTCAAAACTAACTAAGTTTTTTGACATAACTACCAAAATAAGAAACTTGTAAAACAGAACCAACCTACCTACAGAAAAGTTCTAAGTTAAGAAGGTGGAGGTGGAGGTGGAGGTGGAGGTGGAGGTGGAGGAGGAGTAGAAAGGTTGCATTTAGAGAAGTATGTGAAATTCTATATTCTACACAGTACACACACAATCGCACGCATGCCTTTCTTTAAAAGAAGAAAATTATTGTAGCCACTTATTTCAAGATACGTTCCTGATGCAGTCTTCTTTTCTGGCATCAATAGGGATAAGCACATTAAGGCAATATGCCTTAGAAGTTTGTTGAATAATTTAGTTATGCTGCCTTTAGATGGTGCAACGAAATGGAGTTAATAACAATATATATGGAGAGTAAAATTAAATTCCAAAGACACAGGATTTGATATTGGTATTTAAACATGTTCACTCGGAAATTAAACAAGGAAACATTGCACGTGTGTTTATATATCTGATAAGCAAAAGAGATAACGCTTACCTGTCTAAGAAAGGCATCAGAACATAGTCGTGAACCACAAAATCCAAGGCCCAGGGTATGATAACTAATACTGCCAAAAATTTGGCCTGTAAAAAAGGATGAATTTGGCTTAGGGCAATCAGTCCTTCAACAATAAAAAGAAGATCGCAACATGTAATAGCACAAGACTAATATTGCTAAAGGAAAAAAAGCGGGCTTACAGAAAATTACACTAAAACCATTTGATCTCATAATTTTGTTGCCTGTTGTAAAAATGTTCCAAGGCAGAAACACCAATGCAATATATAAAGTTGAATACTGCAATTGTTTTGATAGCTCCCCCATTAAAGTTAGGAATGTTTAATGTTTAGATTGTTTCTCTTTCATTCTTTATACTCTGTTTATACATATTGCGCACTTACGATCAACGAAAAGTGTTTAACCTTTAGTTTCCACCGGAATTAGTAATGCGACTGAACAGTTAACAGCATGAGTGACGAGTGCATAATTAGATTTTTAGAGTGCGAATAATAGTTGGCAAGTAAAATGCATATTGTTGTTGTACTAGTTGTAGTTACCGAATTGAGTGAGGCATAGCGAAAAACGCGGTCTTCATAGAGCATGTCCTCCTCATCATCTTCTTCCTTTCCGAGGACAAAATCGCTGAGAGAGTAAATCAATCCCCTTTCTTGAGTAGGATCCGACTGCACAGATGCTTCCCAGGAGGAAGTAGAAGAATTAGAGTTAGAATTAGAATCCGAAATCCAATCCTCCCACATGCGGTTCTCCTCGTTGGTCATGTCCTGCTGTGCTTCCCTCAACTCCACGATTGCTTCTGCCCTTGTCTTCCACGCCTCAAATTTCTCAGATTCTTCGCCTCTGCTGTTGGCGGCAGCTGGGGAGGAGCCATCTAACTCCTCTTCTTGCTCCTCCTCCGCCGCCAGCATGTCGTCCTCCTTCAAACCAAGCCAATTCCCGTCGTCGTCGAAAAAGAATGTTTGCCACCAAGTCCTTTTCCTTTTCCTTTTTCCAGAAGCATTTGGAATGTGCTCTGCAGCGGCAGACCTCCGCCGCCTTGTATCAACCACAAGAGGCAGTGGCGTCGACAAATTTCTGTGGAAAATGGAGTTGCGGCTGAGCAGACTGAGCTTGGAGTTAACAAAGATCAAGCTTTTGCACAAGACGGCGGAGGAGGACATGATTAACATAGTAAGCCCACATTTTCCAGCTCCTCAAAGCAAAAATTGAAGAATTCAAACACGAACATCAAAACTAGTTGGTGGATAAAGAGCTTGTTCACTCTTCACACTTTAGGGAGGAAAGTGGATAAAGGTTGGGAGCGTTTAGTTAATTTATTTTAGGGCTTTTATCGAAAATGGTTCTTAAAATTCAACCACACCATCAAAAACGGTTTCTAAAATTAATAATTGATAATTTCTGAAAAGTAGTGTCATAAATCAATGTAGTCCCTTCCATCATAATTATATTATATGCTGATGTGACACATAAAGAGGCCTCATAAGATGTGTTATCACAAATGGTCTTTGAAATTCACCTAGACCATCAAGATAGTTCCTGAAATTGAAAATCGAATAATGTAATCCTAAAAACAGGTGTCTCAAATCAATATGATATTTCCTTCACAATTCTGTCAAAAATTGTATTGTATGCCGATGTGACACATGTGATGACAAGTCCCTAATTTTCCGTGTAAATTCATTCCGGAGTATGTAAAATGATGTTTATGCCCTTATTGGCAAAGTGGAACCTAACGTGGACGTAGTTATTTGGCTTTTAATTTATTTTTCTCGTTATCGTAATTAAATAGTACTTGTTGTTACAAAATGCGTGAGCGTGAGGTAGGCCTGAATCAGATTTGTAACGAAGAAGTTATGTTTAGTTAAAGTGCGTTAACAACGGGTAGAATTGTACACGTGTGCTAATTATTTAGTGTAGGAAATATTGTTTTTGATAAGGAGACAGATTTCGTGTACCTTGAATTATACAAAAATCTTATCACTTTCTCCATTTAAAAAAGGAGTCCCATGACCCTATCTCACCACCAATCAGTCACTCTCCTCAATTCTCTCACCTAATCAGACAACTTCTCTCTCTCTCTCTCTCTCTTTTGTCCAATCAGAAAACCTCTATCTCTCTCATCTCCTCCTTCTCTCCCCTTTCACACCGTGTCTTCCCTCTCTGCAGCAACCATACACCATCATCAAACCTCACATATCGAACTTCAAACCACCACCATCATACTTCTCTCATCCCCACAAGTCCATCTGTACAAATCAATCCTAAAATGGTGATGTTTTAAGCTTCCAACTCGGAGCTCCGACTTGAGTGTGAGTTCTCTGACGACTTCCCATTCGTGTTAAAAGATTTTGGAAATTTGGAAGCATCCACACAACTCCTCGAGGTATCTAGTTCAAGCTTGAAGCTAAGCCAACGTCGAAACACACAATTTCAAGAAGTTGAAAATTGTCCGAGATCTTCGAGCTAATTTCAGTCCATTTCCGTACTTCCAAAAGGTATGGACTTGTTCTACTCTTCATAAGCTTCATTTCCATATAAAGTACATAAAAAATGGTTGAGAAATGAAGAAGATATGTAGTTTTAAAATTCAACGTAAAATTTCAGACCTTTGAAGCTTTGAAGAGTCCTTTGGATCCTCATGATTGTTTTCAGATCGATGTTTGTGGATCGAATGAAAGAGAAGTTTGAGGTTGCTCATGACAAAGCTTTACTTCGGAAATATTTTGAACCAAACCAAAAAGTTTTATGGAAAAAGTCAAGGTTCGAAGTTTTTCCCACTAGGCTTCGATCTAGATGGAATGGACCTAATCTCATTGTGCAAGCATATCCCTATGGTGCCGTGGAAATTCAAGATATGAAGAGTGGTTTGACATTTAAGGTGAATGACCATCGTTTGAAGCAATACTTGGAACCTATCCCACAAATGAATGAGGAGGTTTTGTACCTCAATGATCTTAAATAAATATTGTTATGTCTGGCTGAAGACTTAAAACTTAGCGCTTCTTGTGAGGCAACCCAAGTTTTTGAAGAAGGAAGATGGCGCTTGTTGTGTGCTTGAGAGTGGACTTCATCATGACCAGGGGAGTTCTAAACTTTACTCTTTATTTTTTTTTTTTTAACTTATTTTTATTCAGTTCTATTTTTCCTTATTTGTTTAACTCATTGCATGCCTTGTATTGCACTTCACATTGAGGACAATGTGTTATTCAAGTTTGGGGGAGGGATCTCATTTTGATAGTTTTTCATTAGTTGTTTTGAGTCAGTAAATGTAGGCCCTCTGTTTTATTAAAGCCGTTTATGAGTTTTGGTTCGCATTGCGTTCTTCAAATTTTCGTTCTGAATTCAACCATATAAAGAACATTGAATTCTGCCAAGTAGTTTGCAAGATATATGTAAAAAATTGAACAAAGGTCAGAAATTGGTTATTGCTAACATGCAGTCTTCGTTTTCAAATCTTTTAAATTATGGTTCTTGTTAGTTGTTTTGCTGTGTCATTAGTGTCCTAAAATTCCAAACAAAAAAACAAATGGATAATTTGAAAACCCAAAAAGATTTTTTTGTTTTTCTTTGTGTCGTTTTGGTTATTTGTTTCCAAATCCAATGATAATAACTTGGTTGCCACTTAAATATGGTTCTAAGAAATGGATAAGCATTGTTTGTGTTCTTTGGTTAGCTATGCTTTATAAGATCATTCTTTACACCTTTCTCATGCACATAGCCACTGTTAATACAATTGTTTGCTTGCTTAGAGAATTATCTGCAAATTAAGTTGTCATTAAGATCTCAACGAACACTAGAACTTGCTTCAATATCTCTTGAGGCGAAATCCTAAATCATGCAATATCAGGGAGATGATTTTGGCCATCTTCAGTGTGACAGCCCGTCCCAGAAATATAAAAAAAAAAAAAAACGTACGAGTGAAAAGACTATTTTGCCCTAGTTCGATTTCGTTACGTTATTGGTTGTTTTTGTGTTGTGTTGGCATGTTTTGGGCCACACACTCACACTCCCACACCCCACACCTTTCTGTCCCTTTCCCTGTGATTGTCCCGAGCCCCATTTCCCTTCCCATTCACCATATACGTACGGACACACACCCAAAACCCATTAAACCTCCACAGATCGAGGAAACCAAGACCATATTCGAGCTCTAATGCGTTACGAATGTGACACATAAATTAAACCCTATTTGTGACAATTGTAGTAATGATGTAAGTAGGGATCGTTCTAACCGGGGATTAACTAGGGGTGCTAAACACTTGTGTAAACACGAATAATTCCTGAAACAAGAGACAAGAATACGTGTACAAAATATATATTTTGTATTAATGATTTTGAGGTTACAATCTCTTTGTAATTTGGTCCTCTGATTCTATCTTCGTAGGATGTTGGTTTGTGGATGAGTTGTTGATCCAACGGGCCGTCGGGGCTTGATCTAAGGATGAACAGTTGATGAATGATGAACACTTTCTTCAAGGGGCCGTCGGGGCTTGATCTTGAAGAATGGGTGTATGAGTTTGTTGAGGTTGTTGATCCAAAGGGCCGTTGGGGCTTGATCTTTAGGATGAACGGATGATGAATGATGAACACTTTCCTCAAGGACCGTCGGGGCTTGATCTTGAGTTGGTGGAAGTTCTTCAAGGGCCGTTGGGGCTTGATCTTGAAGGTGAACGGATGAGCGGATCTTCAAGGGCTTTTGGGCTTAATCTTGAAGAACGATTGGATGTGTGGATTTGTTGAGGTCGTTGATCCAAAGGGCCGTTGGGGCTTGATCTTAGGATGAACGGATGATGAATGATGAACACTTTCCTCAAGGACCGTCGGGGCTTGATCTTGAGTTGGTGGAAGTTCTTCAAGGGCCGTTGGGGCTTGATCTTGAAGGTGAACGGATGAGCGGATCTTCAAGGGCTTTTGGGCTTAATCTTGAAGAACGATTGGATGTGTGGATTTGTTGAGGTCGTTGATCCAAAGGGCCGTTGGGGCTTGATCTTAGGATGAACGGATGATGAATGATGAACACTTTCCTCAAGGACCGTCGGGGCTTGATCTTGAGTTGGTGGAAGTTCTTCAAGGGCCGTTGGGGCTTGATCTTAAAGGTGAACGGATGAGCGGATCTTCAAGGGCTTTTGGGCTTAATCTTGAAGAACGATTGGATGTGTGGATTTGTTGAGGTTGTTGATCCAAAGGGCCGTTGGGGCTTGATCTTAGGATGAACGGATGATGAACGATGAACACTTTCTTCAAGGGCCGTCGGGGCTTGATCTTGAGTTGGTGGAAGTTCTTCAAGGGCCGTTGGGGCTTGATCTTGAAGGAGGATTTGACGAAGAACGAAGAGTGCTTTCTTGATCCTTCGGGATTTGCTTGAGAGCTTTAGAGTTTCAAGGCTTCTTCCTTTCTTCCTTCTTTCTTCCTTCTTTCTTCTTTCTTCCCCAAAATGAATGCCTTGGCCTCCTATTTATAGAATTCCAAAACTTGATTTTTGGATTTAAATAATCAGATGAAATAAATCATTTCTGCCAGGTATTGACACGTGTCATATTTGATGACTTTTCCAATTTATTTCGATTTTTCGTTGAATCACACGTTACATGTAAAATTTATGTGACACGTGAACGTTGAAATTTTAATTATTGGTCAACATTCATTTCACCGAAATTTTGATGTCTACAAATGCCCCCACTTCAAGGCGCATCGTAGACATGTGCTTGTCACGTGTAGAAGATGCGTTTTGAAGTCCCTTAATGTAGATGTCAACCCAAGGCCCGTCGAGGCTTGATCTTGAATTGGGCTGGAAATTTCTTCAAGGGCCATCGAGGCTTGATCTTGAGTTCGACTGGAAGATTTTCTGGTTTCCTCCAATCGTTGATTTTCACACAGGCTTAATCTTGAACTGGGCTGGAGGATTCTTTTGGTCTCCTCCGAAGGTCTGAACTTACTCCTTTTATCTGGAGTTGAATTTGATTCAAGGGTGGTGAACACTTGATTTTGAATCGGACTTGTGCTTTCTTCAAGGGCCATCGAGGCTTGATCTTGAGTTCGACTGGAAGATTTTCTGGTTTTCTCCAATCGTTGATTTTCACACAGGCTTAATCTTGAACTGGGCTGGAGGATTCTTTTGGTCTCCTCCGAAGGTCTGAACTTACTCCTTTTATCTGGAGTTGAATTTGATTCAAGGATGGTGAACACTTGATTTTGAATCGGACTTGTGCTTTCTTCAAGGGCCATCGAGGCTTGATCTTGAGTTCGACTGGAAGATTTTCTGGTTTTCTCCAATCGTCGATTTTCCGCAGGCTTAATCTTGAACTGGGTGCAGGGTTCTTTTGGTCTCCTCCACTCGTTGATTTTCCTTTGTGCTACTCTTGAACTGGGCAGCAGGATTCTTTTGGTCTTCCCCGAAGGTCTGAGCTTACTCCTTTTTTTTTGTTTCTTTGTTCAATCTCTCCAATTCGTATTGAAGAGGGTTAGAGGATAGCTCAGCATATGCAGTTGTAGCTTGTCTCCACATGCTTCAATGTATCATTTTCACTTGCCTTACTTGCTCCCCTTTGCAGAAGTGGTATTTCCTTATGCAGGTTTAGCATCTTCTCTTGTAGTATTTGTTCCTGATGCAGGAGTTGAATGCAAACCTTGCATTTGAATGGACCATCACTTCTTGGTGGCAGCGCAAGTTTGAGTGGAGGTTCCGACATATTGCTTTCTCTGTCCTTGTCCTGGCAGGTGAGAACAAGGGCAAAGGAAAAGATAGGGGAAAAGCATGATATGAGATACCTTTGCTTTCGCCCTTGATGATATGAGATACTTTTGCCTTGGTGTCATTTGTTTGTAAGGGCATTCCCGGAGAGGAAGAAAACTAAGCATTTTGAGATGCTTTGCTGGGAGTGTACTCTCGGAGGTGAGGAAGAGTTGGGCATTTTTTTTTTTTTTTTTTTTTTTTTTTGTTTGCAGGTCTGCCTTGCCATAAAAGATGAAGGTTGACATATATAGGGATTTCCCAATAGCAAGTGGTGGTACTGTTCTTTTACCCTTGTCGACAAACGTTTTGATACCGCAAATCCGGCTTTTTGAAATAGTGACGACTCTTCGATCTTTGAATACGCCTCTTTGATTTCTGAACGACGCCTCTTCGATTTCTGAACGACGCCTCTTCGATTTCTGAACGAGCGCCTCTTTTGACAAAGCTGCACGCGTTTTCTGAAAAGCAGAGAAAGCGTCGCCGAACTTTGCGCTTGTCGGCTAAAGATGTGTAGCTGCGATGATGACCTCCACGTGATCTTTTGACAAAGTGGCACCCGTGCTCTGAAAAGCCGAGAAAGCGTCGCCAACCTCCGCGTGTTTTCAACTTTGTCGGTGATCTTTTGACAAAGTTGAACGCGTTTTCTGAAAAGCCGAGAAAGCGTCGCCTAACTTACGCCGGAAAATCCAGCTTTTGAGATTTGCAGAGCGATGTCTCTTCACTTTTGAGTAAGCGACCCTTCGATTTCTGAACCAACGCCTCTTTGATTTCTAAGCAAGCGCCTCTTCGATTTCTGAGCAAGCGCCTCTTCCTTTTTATAGAGGTATTGATCACCTCTAACATGCACACTTTGAAGGTTGCTCATTCCTGAAAATCATCTCCGGCCTTTTGAGTTTTAACTCCATCCACCCATCTCTTTTAACACCTTTGAAAAATGGCTAACCCATCGAACCTTAGCTTAGAATTAAGTCTCAGCAGTGATACGGGCGCGCCGCATCAAGGTAACGTATGGCGCCCTTCTTTCTTATCTTCTAACGGTCCTCTTACAGGTGAAGACTCCGTGATGCAGGACGCCACAACAGCTACAATAGTAGCTAGGAACCTCCTCACTCCAAAAGATAGTAGGCTGCTGTCAGGACGGTCCGATGAGTTGGCCGTTCAAGAGTCCCTCGCTCTTAGTGTTCAGTGTGCGGGCTCTGTGTCCAACATGGGCCAACGCCTGCTTGCTCGGTCCCGTCAGGTGGAATCATTGATGGCAGAGGTGGAAGATCTTAAGCAGGAGATTAAACAGCTTAAGTACGAGAATAGAAGTTTGCATGTGCTTGCAAATAACTATTCGTCGGGCATGAAGAGGAAGCTTGATGAGATGCAAGAATCTCAAGGTCGCATTCAAAGTGACCGTCAAAGGCTTGCGTCTTTCTTCCAGAGGCACATTTTTCCTGCGTCATCTAGCGTTCCACCAAGTATCGGGGCCTCGAATGATCTATCTTTGGTGCCTCCCGCTTCTGGAGTTTGGCCAAGTAGTGGGGCTTCACGTAAACAACCTTTGTGAATGCTCCATCTTTCTCTTTCTTTGTTAGATACATTTTTTTTTTTTTTTTCGCACTTGTAATTTCTCGAAAATCAATGAACATGCTTCGTTTTATTTAGTGTATTATGCTAAACACAGAGAAAACATGTACATCACCAAGATTTTTTTTTATTCTTTTCTTTGCTTTCGGTGGCGCTGATCCACCATTCATTTATATATATATATATATATATATTTCAGATGGTGCCAGAAGCATCACCATTGTTTTTTTCTTTCTTTTTATTATATATATATATATATTTTTTTTTTTTTTTGCACATGGTTCCAGAAGCATCATCATTGTTTTTATTATACATATATATATATATATTTTTTTTTTTTCTTTTTTAAATTTTTTATTATTCTTTTGAAAGATGCTTCCAGCATCATCATTGCTGCTTTTTTTTTATTTTTTATTATTCTTTTGAAAGATGCTTCCCGGCATCATCATTTTTTTTATTTTTTTTTATTTTTTTATTTTTTCTTTATATGGCCATCTGCAAGGCTGAGTTCGTGGGTGAAAACCCAGGCCGAGTCCGAGAGAAGACGGAGGAGATCTTTGGGTGTGAGTTGACAAACTTTGATTTTGTCGATCACATTCAAAGGCAGCAGCAGAGGCAAGCAGACGGATGAGATCTTTGGGTGTGAGTTGACAAACTTTGATTTTGTTGATCACATTCAAAGGCAGCAGCCATGGCGGAGGTGCAGAAGCAGCCAAAGCTTGAAGCAGAGTGTAAGGCGTCGAGCTTGAAGACCGGCTAGTCGTTTGACAGCGGTCAATGAAGCTCTTCGTTGATTTTGATCATGGTGGCCGTCGTGACGAGCTCGAGGTTTGTTGGCAGCTTGAGGAGACAGAGGAAAAAAACTACACCATCGCCTTTGATCACAGGTAAGGAGCACAGCCACTGAGCACAGGCACCGAGCACAACCACCATACTCCAGCTCGTTAATTCCCTGGGCTCCCCCAAAGACAACCTTGCTTCACGCCGTCGTCCTCTCTGCTTTCCTCAAATTCTCGGCTTTCTTCGGTCTCTTCTAGCTTTGTGCGACACTGCATCACCAAATCCATCTCCTTCAAGTCACAGAGTGCATGGGCTCTTTCTGCAAGACAACCGGAGACGACGGCTGGAGACATGGCACGGCTTCTACCTCCGTTTGGGCTTCTGTCTGACGTCGGCGATTGTTGCAGCAATATGCGAGGAAGAAAGGGCTGCAGTGTGCGTTGAAGGAGAGTCCAAAAGAAGTAGAGAGAGAACTGTGGTCTCCAAATGTCACCACTTTGCTACTGCCTTTCCGTTGTTATCGGCCGAGACGAGGGTGCACGTTGTGGTCTCTGGGCTCGCGGATGGCAGTCTCGCTGGGCAGAGAGGAACAAGGAGCAGCCGTCTGGACCTTGGGGAGTCGACAGCGGCAGGGAGCGGAGAGCGTCTCTCTTTCTTCTCTGCGTTTTCTGCTCTTTCACCCCAATAGCAACTATCACCGTAGTATGTGTCTATTTCCCACCTTTCAAGCTCATCCGTTGCGGTAGAGATAGCAAGGATGAAATCGAAAAGAATTTCTCAAGACACCCAACTCCCCGGGTCTCGCAAGTTTGATCCGTGATCCTCCCATATATTGTTTGCGCTATTTGAAGAATACCAAATTCTTCTCCGACACAAACCCATGCTTGGACATCAAAGTCATCCTTGATATCTTTGTACACAAGTTGAGCAAAGGTGGACTTCCCGATCCCTCCCATATTTTTTATTTTTTATTTTTTATTTTTATTTTTTTTGACGAAATGCGTCTGTTGCTGCTCCTCCTTGGAAAAGAGAGAAACAAGCTCATCATCCTCCCAGAACAGATCTTGTTCCATCAGGAGCATGGGAAACAGAGAAGGGCAGTTTGGGTTTTTCACACTAACGCCATTGTTGTAGTTCTCACCACTACTTACTTCTTGTTCCACCACCTCCAAATACTTGTGGAATGCCTTCTGAAGGTTCTCGTCCAAATCATGGAAATGAGGCCCCTCGTAGGCAATTTGATCCTCGGAATCTTCGGGATTTTTCACTGCCAAGCTGTCAATGTGAGACTCATCAAGGTAAGCAGTGACGCTAAACTCGAGAACTGGTCTGTTACCCTTGGAGACAGTTATGACCAACGAGATGCTGGATTGGTTGGCGTGTTCATCATTGTCATCATTTTGGTTATCATCGTTGTCGTCTTCACCTGGGACTAGATCAGGCATGTGAACTTCAACCTGTATGTCTTCACCTTGATATGTTCTTTTCAACGTCACCGTCTGGATTCCGGGAGTATCTTCAATTTTAAAAGGGAAGGATGATGGAATCTCCTCAACCTTGTCGAGATCCTCGGTCTCCTCAGCGCACTTGATCTCCGACTCGATGACCCTGACCAGATACTGGTCCGAACTGTGGCTCGAGTAGTATCGAGGGGTGGGAACGAAAGGGGTCGGCTGCAAATTTTCTTCGGGCTTTCAGATAGAGTTGGAGAGAAGAAGATGGTGACTTGGGCCGAGGAGCTGCAGTTGGTGTAGACGGCGGCGTTGTCGACCACTTCGAATTGAAGCACAGAGCAAGTATCTTCAGTCTATTCTTGATAAAGCTTGGAAGGCTTTGAATGACCAGGCCGATTCGGCCGCTGGGCTTAGACTTTAAGGACTAGCTGATTTTTATTTATTTATTTTTATTTTTTATTTTTTTTTTAATTTTTAATTTTAATTTTATTTTATTTTATTATTTTATTTATTTTTTTATTTTCTGATTTTGGGAGAACACATATACATGCATTACCTTCCTTTTTTTTTTTTTTTTTCTTTTTTTTTTTAAAACCAACAACATGTAATTTTTTTGTGCAAAGAATGTAATAATATTGACTTTCATTAGTCACTTTTACCACAACCTCATTTTGATGTGACTGAACTCAAAAATAAACGTTCGAGCTACCTACGTACCCTTCCAACGAAGAGATCAAGTCGAAACGTAGTTCAAACGTTTTTTTTTTTTTTTTTTTTTTTTGAGTAGAGAATATATATATATTTTTTTTCTAATACATAGTAACATATGTATTTTTTTTTTCTTTTCTTTTGTAATAAAATTGACTTTCTTTAATGAAACATTTATTTATTTATTTTGATGTGACTGTACTTGAAGTTTTGAAGTTTCAAGTTGCCTACGTACTCTTCCAAAGAAGAGATCAAGTCATAACGTAGTTCAAACGAGTGATGGTTTTGATGATGATTTTGATGATGATTTTGCCGTACACAGTTTATGCTCTTGCGGGCCAGGAGCGTCTTGGTGCCGTTTGCATTTTCAGCTCATGCAGGCAAGGAGCGTTTGTTGTCGCCTTTTATGCTCGTGCGGACAAGGAGCTTTGGTTGTCGCCTTTTAGGCTCGTGCGAACGAGGAGCTTTTTTTTTTTTTTTTTTTTTTTTGAATTTGTCAAACGATCTTAGAGAGGCATTCCTTGCAATCTTTATAGCAAGGAGTCTTGACTGAGTGATTGAAGAAGTCTTTGGGGAAGAAATCGCGCATCGTGATGGCAACGGACGATCTTTGTGTCATAACTTCATCATCCTCAACACTTTCATGTAGCTTTGAAGGTTGACGGTAGCTGCTTTGCCCCCTTTCCGATTGGTGAACTTGTGGAGGAGACCTATGTTTCTTGTGCATTTTCTTTGGAGTGACATAAGTCCATCCTTCAACTTCACTTGACTTGACTGACATGGTTTTGGAGCATGCCCCCAGCGGTTGAGGTGAAGATTTTGAGTTCAAAGAGCCAGAAGTGACGGTGGTATAGTTTGACTTCACCACATCATTAAGATCTAGCTCGATGATCCCTTTCTGAGCCAACTTCATGATGAGATCTTTTAGCACAAAGCACTTTTCCGTCGGATGACTAATGAAGCGGTGGAATTTACAGTACCTTGGACTGTCAGTACGGTTCATATCTTCTGGCCGTTTGCACTCAGGTAGGTCGATCACCTTTTTGTCAAGCAAGTCTTTCAACATGGCAACCACGTCAGAGTCGGGGAATGGATAAGTTTTCTCCTCAAGCTCCTTCAAAGTGCGTCTACGTATCTCTTGATCACGAAAAGCTTCGGTTTGAATCGCCTTGCTTCGTGTAGGGATTTTGACTGGAGTCGTGTTGACCGTCATTGCTTCCTTGGTGGGTTTCCACGTAGCCTTATCCACCTTTGCCCCCAAAACTTTGTCATTCTTGTAGTCGGCGATCTGTTCTTTCTTCCCATGACGGGTGATGCTTAACTCCATATCATGGGCGCGGGTGGCTAACTCCTCGAATGTTTGTGGTTTGATGCCTTGAAGGATGTAGTGTAGTCCCCACTGCATGCCTTGAACGCACATCTCAATGGCAGAGGTTTCAGAAAGCCGATCTTTGCAATCCAGACTTAAAGAACGCCATCTATTTATGTAGTCGACGACAGGTTCATCTTTCCACTGTTTCGTGCTGGTCAGCTCTAGCATGCTTACAGTACGACGAGTGCTATAGAAACAGTTGAGGAATTCCCTTTCTAGTTGGTGCCAACTGTTGATAGACTCAGGTTCGAGGTCAGTGTACCAGTCAAAAGCGTTACTTTTCAGCGAACGCACGAACTGTTTGACGAGGTAGTCTCCCTCTGTCCCAGCATTGTTGCAAGTTTCAATGAAATGGGCGACATGTTGCTTCGGGTTGCCTTTTCCATCGAACTGCATGAATTTTGGGGGCTGATAACCCCTTGGCATCTTCAAAGCATCAATCTTCTTGGAGTAAGGCTTTGAGTACAGTACGGAGTCATGTGAGCTTCCTTCGTACTGTGTCTTGATAGTGCTTGCAATCATCTCCTGTAGTTGCTGGATAGAGAGAGATCCCATGAATGCCGTTGCTTGGTCTAGCTTCGGCTTCTCTTCGACTTTCTCCGCTGGTGGCTCCTCTTCTTCGTCGCCTTCTTTCTTAATAGGCCAACAATTGGGTCGACTTTCACGTCGGGCAGCGCATCTAGTTGGTTGACAAGTGCGGCAATCTGCAAGTCCTTCTCTTCCACAGTTCGTGTGAGCTTTGCGATTGCTTCATTCATCTGAGCTAGCTGCTCCTCGATTGAAGTTGCTCCAGTGGTCATGACTTGCATGGTTGTACTGCCGCTCGAATCAGCGTCGGAGAGTAGGGACTCTGAGTATTTCTTTGGGCTCTCCCCTTTTGATGCCCTTAGCGAGGCTAGGGTGATCACAGGCTCGTACCTCAGGTGCTCTTGTTCCCTTGACAGAGTTAATGCAGGAGCGGAAGCCGCGACAAAAAGATCTCTTGCCTTACTTCGGGTTATGATGCCCGAAATATCACTACTTGCGGCGATGATGTTCTTGTTCTTTGCTTTGATTGCAGGAACAGCTTGATCATTTCTTGATGCCATTTGCGTTTTTCGGTGACTTGAGGATAGAGATGAGAGGTAGAGATAGTCCCACTGGGCGTGCCAAATTTGTAAACACGAATAATTCCTGAAACAAGAGACAAGAATACGTGTACAAAATATATATTTTGTATTAATGATTTTGAGGTTACAATCTCTTTGTAATTTGGTCCTCTGATTCTATCTTCGTAGGATGTTGGTTTGTGGATGAGTTGTTGATCCAACGGGCCGTCGGGGCTTGATCTAAGGATGAACAGTTGATGAATGATGAACACTTTCTTCAAGGGGCCGTCGGGGCTTGATCTTGAAGAATGGGTGTATGAGTTTGTTGAGGTTGTTGATCCAAAGGGCCGTTGGGGCTTGATCTTTAGGATGAACGGATGATGAATGATGAACACTTTCCTCAAGGACCGTCGGGGCTTGATCTTGAGTTGGTGGAAGTTCTTCAAGGGCCATTGGGGCTTGATCTTGAAGGTGAACGGATGAGCGGATCTTCAAGGGCTTTTGGGCTTAATCTTGAAGAACGATTGGATGTGTGGATTTGTTGAGGTCGTTGATCCAAAGGGCCGTTGGGGCTTGATCTTAGGATGAACGGATGATGAATGATGAACACTTTCCTCAAGGACCGTCGGGGCTTGATCTTGAGTTGGTGGAAGTTCTTCAAGGGCCGTTGGGGCTTGATCTTGAAGGTGAACGGATGAGCGGATCTTCAAGGGCTTTTGGGCTTAATCTTGAAGAACGATTGGATGTGTGGATTTGTTGAGGTTGTTGATCCAAAGGGCCGTTGGGGCTTGATCTTAGGATGAACGGATGATGAACGATGAACACTTTCTTCAAGGGCCGTCGGGGCTTGATCTTGAGTTGGTGGAAGTTCTTCAAGGGCCGTTGGGGCTTGATCTTGAAGGAGGATTTGACGAAGAACGAAGAGTGCTTTCTTGATCCTTCGGGATTTGCTTGAGAGCTTTAGAGTTTCAAGGCTTCTTCCTTTCTTCCTTCTTTCTTCCTTCTTTCTTCTTTCTTCCCCAAAATGAATGCCTTGGCCTCCTATTTATAGAATTCCAAAACTTGATTTTTGGATTTAAATAATCAGATGAAATAAATCATTTCTGCCAGGTATTGACACGTGTCATATTTGATGACTTTTCCAATTTATTTCGATTTTTCGTTGAATCACACGTTACATGTAAAATTTATGTGACACGTGAACATTGAAATTTTAATTATTGGTCAACATTCATTTCACCGAAATTTTGATGTCTACAACTTGACTCAAATAAATAAAACTAATCTTTAAACACTTAATTCACTTAACGAAAACTCAAAATAAGTCCACAAGACTCCAAATACTTAAAAACACAAAATAAGATAGATTAGGACTAAACAAAATATTGGGGGGGGGGGATGAGGTTTTGACGAAATTGAACTAAAATGCACAGATTGTAATTAAGGGCAAAATGTAAATATGAATGTGATGAAAATATGGATGAATGCTAGCTAGAAGGTTCTTCTCCACACATGCTACACTTGCATACAAGATGATTTTCGGTTGGTCTTTCGATGAATTATCAAACTCAACACCCCGGGTTAATTAGGTCCGCTTAAATTAACCGTCAAGTTTTCCTTAAGTTAATGAATTGGATGATTGCATGCGACAACCCAAAGCATTCCCCACAAGTTCCCTACATGAATTGCATAATAGAGATACAAGCAAGAATCATTAAGCATCATGAAAACTATAAGTGTTGACGAGGCATTCGTTACTATGAATTGCATGAAACTTATGCCAAGAATTTACTTAACGCGATTGTTTATAGGCAACCTCCACTACTTGTGAATATAAGTTCATAACTATTAGGTGAAACTCACTTATATTCTAGCGTCATATTCATGCATGAAAATTAAGCGTGCACTCTCAATAAACATGCATAAATAAGTTATAAATCAAATAGTTAAACAAATTGAATCCACAACTCATGAAATTCCAACCAAAGGTAATCAATTCATATTGCAAGCATAAACATGGTTTCGAATCACCCCCTAGCTAATGGGGGGTTTAGTTCCTCATACGTACA